AGGGATGTTGCATTTCTTTTTTTTATGATTTTGTATATAACTAGTAAATATAGATATACAAAGTAATTAATAAGGAACCTAAATAAAGGTGGTAAATAGATTTCTATTATAGTATAGCTAGGTAAACATTTTAATATTTTTATGGCGACTATACAATATTATTTTTCCTTTCAGGTTTTCATGGGCCCAATAGGCCCAGTAAATTTAGTAATCAAGAGAATACGTTGATTGATTTTGATTTAAAGGGCACGTGCTTTCAGGGGCTTTTGCATCTATACCTGATTTTGGGGTCACAATTGAACCTATACCCACTATACAAAAAAGTTTGCAAGCGTACTTTACGATCAACTTCAGACTTATGGGGTCTGAAGTTAAAAAAAATTAGTTTGAAGTGAAAAAATTGCACTTCAAATGCACTTAAGGCCAAATAGGTCTGAAGTGCAACCAATGGTTTTATGCACTTAAGGCTAATAAGTCTGAAGTGAAAAATTACACTTCAGATGCACTTAACACCAATAAGTCTGAAGTGAAAATTTGCACTCCAGATGCACTTACGGCCAAAAGGTTTGAAGTGCAACAAGCATTTTCATTCACTTAAGGCCAATAAGTTTGAAGTGAAAATTTGCACTTCAGATGCACTTAAGGCCAAATAGGTCTGAAGTGTAACCAATGGTTTCATGCACTTAAGGCCAATAAGTGTGAAGTGAAAAATTATACTTCATATGCACTTAAGGACAAAAGGTCTGAAGTGTAACAAACGTTTTGCTACACTTAAGGCCAATAAGTTTGAAGTGAAAAATTGCACTTCAGATACACTTAAAGACAAAAGGTCTGAAGTGCAACAAACGTTTTGCTACACTTAAGGTCCATAAGTTTAAGGTAAAAATTTGCACTTCAGATGCACTTAAGGCCAAAAGGTCTGAAGTGCAACCAACATTTTTATGCACTTAAGGCCAAATAGGCCTGAAGTAGGGGTGGGCATCGGTCAGTTCGGTTCGATTATGAATATTATCGGTTTAGCATATCGATTATCGGTTTATAAATTTGATAAACTGATAACCGAACCGATAAGATATTGGTTATCGTGTATCGGTTATCGATCATTATCGGTTTGGTTATCGGTTTACCCGATAAAGTAACTCAATATAGAGTTAAGCAAAAAAGAGAAGACAATTCACGGGTGTTAAGCAAAAAAGAGAAGAATTCACATATAGTATGCGTACTGTCCGATGGCCAAAACTGGAATAGTACTAATTCTTCAACAACAATTGTCCAAATACATTTTAACAATAATACAAAGTAGTAGCAATTTTACCTTTAAATTAATAAGTCCAAACATATAGTACTAACAGTTCAAATTCAAGTTAACAAGACAACAACTACTCAATTCTCATAGGCTTCACCAAATTGCGCTCCAAACAACTCCTAACATGCCCCATTAAGGACTTAGTACCACTTTGTTGTGCATTGTAATAAAAACAAGATGACAATGACTACATCTTACTTTCCACCATCCATCATCACCTTCTTCAATCCTTTCATAGTAACTCCAAACAAGTGAGGTAGTTTTGTGACCACGAAGTCGAGGCATGATTACACCTATTAAGCATAAAAAAAAAAAATATTAAGTCAAATAAATTCTTAGCAATGCATACTATAGAAGTTGAATAATGAACTTACCAAATTTTTAACTCATAACTATCTAAGATTCTATACAGCATCATCGCAAGGTTCTTTTCCAAGTTTGGCAAAATCTAAAGAGAATAATATATATTAACAAATCAAACAACAAAAATATTAAACAAACTATTTATAAAAATAATATACAACCAAAAAAATTAAAATATTATCACCTTGTTCTAGTTCCTCGAGAACATCAAAGTCTTCCTCAACACTTACAGAACTGAAACAATTTCAGACCCCAAAAAAGAAAGGAAATGATCAGCTCTTGGAATTTATTTTTCTTAGAAGTCAAACCTTCCCCTAACCAAAAATCTACTGAACTTAATCAAACTCCATAAGCACGTTAAGTTCTTGAATTTACTTTATTTGCTAGTCAACCCTACAAGATTTTTAAAGCACTGAATTTCATCAAATCACATAAGAAAAGTCACAAAGAAACATTAAACAAACAATTAATTTCAACATTATTACCTTCAAGATTACAACTTTTAACAACTAAAAACACAATCGGACACATAAATACACGAAATTTATTGAATCTAAATAAGAACTTGAACACACACTTAAAAATTCCAAAAATAGAAGCATTTAAGTGTTATAATTGCTAAAACTAATCAAAGCACAAAATCAAACTCATAAAGAAACAGTAAATAAATAATTAAATTGAACATTATTACCTCCTATGTAAACTAAAATTAACCAAAATACAGTAAAAATTACAATTTTTTACAACTAAAAGCAAAGCACAACATAAATTAGCGACACAAAAACATGAAAATGAATGAATTTAAGCAAGAACTTGAACATCCACTTAAAAATTTCACAAATAGAAAGATTTAACTAACATAATAAATAATTAGTCCGACATTATTACCCCCAAACTGTCCAAGATAAACTGGATATTGTTTGTCAAATGCCTAACCTGAAAAAAGACACTGGTAGTAGGTATAAGCTGCACAGCGTGAGCTCACAAAATTAAGAAACGAAAATAAAAAAAATAAAGAATCTTTAACAATCAAAAATTCCTATATGCAGATGAATTTTATTATAGAAATTAAAAGCCTAATGTATAAGACTAAAGGCTTACACTAGGAGTAACTAGTAAGGTCTATGAAGAATGAAGATGAAGCAATTGAAGACAGAAGAATGCGGCTGAGAAAGAATAGGAAAGCATGAAGTGAAGCCCTAGCATATGTATATACATAAGGGTAAAGTAGTAATTTCATTAATTCTTATTGGGTTATCGGTTAACCCATTAACAAAATTGACAAACCGTGGTCTGAACCGATAACCCAATAGTAAAAAAAATTCTAAACTGTTACCGAACCGTTAACCCAATAACCCATGCCAGAAACAACTATCTTACTTCTTCGAGAAGAACCTAAGTATCAATGACGAGAATGACACCGTAATATCAATAAATTATCACGATTACAATAAGGATTGAGATGAACTTACAAAGACGATTGATTTCCACTGAAATGCTTGAGGAAAAATGCAGAAAAATGAAGATGAAGCAGAGGGGAAGAGGAAAGAAGATGATTGGCTGTCTTCAGAAGTGAAGGAAATAGGAGAAGTACGATGTTTTAGGTTTTCACCGAGAGTAATTTTGGTATCATGAAAACTTATAATGGACAAGGAAGTAATTTTATTGGTCAAACTAAAATGGCTTTTAAGCCAAAATCGAACAAGTTGGGGTCAGCCAACTTGTTGCTTTTGTTTTTTTTAAAGCACTTTTTAGTTTTTTTTATGCAGTTTTTTTTGTCAAACACTCCAGAAAATAAAAAGTGCTTAAAAACTAGTTTGACCAGGTTTTAATCCCATCCAAACACCCTCTAATTATGCTTTACTACTTTCGCTTAATTATGATTTACTAGTTTAATGATGGTTTGTTGAGAGTTGCGGCGAGTCAACTCTAAAATGAATAATTGAAAGAACCAGTTAGATTAAGCCTAAGAAGGGAAGAGGCAAAAATGTCTAGCAATAATTCAATAGAAATCAATTAAAAAAGATGTATCATTGTACACCATAATCACACTTCCCTAGCTAAGAGACTCGTTATATTCCCTCCATTGTCTTTTTAAAAAATTATTAAGTAAATATTTAGTTAACTTTATTAACTATGCTTTGCAAACTTAAATATGATACTAGTCCTCCTATAAATTTTTGAAATGGTTACTTAATGGTAAGAATAAAAATCGACAAATAAAAGAAAAAAAAATATTTTAATACATTGAACTAGTAAAAGGAAACAGAAAGAGTATTTTCTAATTCATTTATGTAAAGTGTGGTCTACGTATTACATGCATGATGCATATATTTGGTGATAATAAAATAATGAAAAGTTAGTGCATGATTTTGTTGGTTTGGACGTCTGAGACAATGACAACTTAAGAATCTGACTAACTGTGATTTAATTTCTAGATTAGCAAGCTAGTTATGTAAACTTGTGTCACTACCATACCACACTACTTTGGTTTTACGTTGCCAAAGTGAAGTCTTAAAAACTACCAAAAAAATTCCTTCTTTGATTAGTATGAGATTTGAGCAACCATTAATAATGTTACTCTTTCTTACTGATCGAGTTGCGAACAAAAATAAAATGGATGATTGAGAACTCGAATCGTTTCTTGCTTAACAAATATTGAACGTGGTACTTGTTTAATTGGCTGACTCCCATGTGAGAGTTGCAAAAACATTAATTTTCTATCACTCTTTTAGTGAGTTGCCCACAAATACAAAATTGGTGCACTAATGTTGGATATCTGGAATCGTTTTTGATTTAAGAAAATGAAAACCTCAAATTGATCTCATGCGGGGATTGAACCACCATTGGTCGGAGAGATAAATTCAAGATTTTTCTACCATAGCCGCTTAATTTAATGAGTTCAAAATTTTATTAATTATACTTTTTAGTGAATTTTTAGCACATATACAAAGTTTCAGCGCAAGTTATTGGGTTGAGACGGAGACACACCGCATTCGCCCCTGATCGATTGGTCGTCCTCTTTCTCAGTGAATTCCTAACAAAATTAAAATGGGGTTTTTATTGAAACTAGGATCAAATTCTGGCTTAAGAAAATGAACATACCTCATATAGAATTAAATAAAAATTGTGCTAAACTTGATTCCCATGTGGGGATTAAGCAACCATTGGTTTTCCCCTTTGTATCCGAGTTGCCAAAAAGTTAAAATAGGTGATTATTGGAACTGGGATCATATTCTCTCTTAAGAAAATGAATATGCCTCATAAAACAAAAACTTAAATGAAAATGTGACAAACAACTCCTTTTTCAATATTGTCGCTCTATATAAGATTACCAAACTTGCTAACAAACATATGATTAGATTCCAATAACAACTATTCCTACTGTCTTTTTCCCTCTTATGTACCCTTTAAATACTCATCGTATACAGTTCCTTTGCTCTCACACTCAAAATTAGCTAAGAACCAAAGTCTATAGGCACAAACAAATATAGGCTTTCGATCTTTGATAATTGTGATGGCATTACAAAAATTTCTTGTTGCTTTTACGTTTTGTTTTGTGCTATTTTCATGTGTGAATGCCCTGAGCTCCAATTACTATGACAAAACATGTCCAGATGCCGAGTCAAGCATCACCCAAGTTGTAAGAAAAGCTATGTGGAATGACAAAACAGTTCCAGCTGCTCTTTTAAGGATGCATTTCCATGATTGTTTCATCAGGGTAAATTACTTCTACTCCTATACATCTTTATGTAATATTGAAAGTGTTTAAGTTATATACAAATTTACACGATCGTTGTAGTTTAACGTGTGATAGAATGTTATAGTTATCATTTTTTATCAGGTTTAAATGACGTTTATCATAGAGATTTATATATATCCCAAGATAAGCTTAAATGGAACAACATGGTCATTTTAATTTATATAGCCTCCTAGCTTGAGTCGGGATTTGAGGTATATTAGCAGTAGTAGTAGTTGTTGTAAAGAGATTTATCTGTAATTATCTTACAAGTGACCTGATTGTGTACTATATTTTTTTACATTGTCGGTAGATTAACTAAATAGCGAAAACATGCACTTTCTTTTACTATGTTCATTTTATGAGTAATTTTAGGACATAGTAACCAGAGGAGGATCTAAGATTTTATAACATGGGTGCACCGCTAAAGAAAAGAGAAAAAAAAAAATATTAAGTGGGAATTGATCCTTGCTCCTCTAGGTAGATAACTCAGCATTCAACCAGTACGTATTATTTATAGCCTCTTTGGAGCATGAGTGTCAGTATATAATATTAGATCAATTGTAGAAAATATGTACATAAAATACCTACCCTATATAGGGCTGTAGTTATTGTTTAACTTATGGTGTTTTTATTATGGAAGGGTTGTGATGGCTCTGTGCTGCTGAATTCGACGAAAAACAACCAAGCAGAGAAAGATGGACCTCCTAACATTTCACTACATGCTTTCTATGTTATTGACGTTGCTAAGAAACAAATAGAGAATATGTGCCCTGGAGTTGTTTCATGTGCTGATATTTTAGCTCTTGCAGCTAGAGATGCTGTTAAACTTGTGAGTCTTACTACAACCAAAACTTCATCCTAATTATTACTTTCAAAATATGTAGACTATATATATGTTCATATTGAAGTGAATTACAAGTTTGAATTTAGAGGTTTAATTTTCAAGAGTCAAGAGTAGTACTAATGTTAGAATTATTTATTGGTTTTAGTCTGGAGGACCTACTTGGGAAGTGCCAAAAGGTAGAAAAGATGGACGAATTTCTAAAGCCAGTGAAACGCAGCAATTACCTGGTCCAACTTCCAATATTTCTCAATTGCAACAAAGCTTCACTCAAAGAGGTCTTTCTTTAGACGATTTGGTTGCACTTTCAGGTATAAATAATCTATCAGCAAATGAATAAATAAATAAACTTAAGCTATATATATTGACAATATAAATAATTTTCATATTATTAGTATAATGTAATCTTTTATAGCAGGTTAATTATCATTTTTCTTCTAGGCTACAGATCAATCTTATCAAATAGAATTAGTTGCATTTAATAACCTGACTCTGTTAATATTTTTTGCATTTTAGTATATAAAAATTAAATTCAAAAAACATGGAGTAGGTCTCTTCTAGGTTAATTAACTCTAAAATCTAATGGATTTAAGTTCTATACGTCATAATTCTAATTTAACTTATTATAGCTAGTTACTTACCATTTATTTTAAGTCACCGATCAATATCTATTAAATATAATTACGTGCAAACCTTTCAAACGATCTAATACAAATATTTTTATCCCGTCAATATTGCATAGAGCTTACGGCTTGTTTTTTTCAGGAGGACACACTCTTGGATTTTCTCATTGTTCATCTTTCCAAAACAGAATCCACAAATTCGATGAGAAAAACGATGTTGACCCTACATTGGATGCATCATTTGCAGCTAAGTTAAAGAAAGTATGTCCCATTAAAAACACAGTGAAGAATGCAGGCTCTACCTTAGATTCTACAACATTTTTATTCGACAACGTATATTACAAGTTAGTATTGCAGAATAAGGGCCTTTTTTCTTCAGATTCTACTTTGCTCACCAATTCAAGAACCAAAAATCTAGTTTCAACTTTTGCCAGTTCACAAAATGAGTTTTTTAAAGCTTTTGCTAATTCAATGATCAAAATGAGCAGTATCAGTGGTTCTGGTCAAGAAATAAGGCGTGATTGCAGATTTATTAGGTGATAAACCTGGCTAATTATGTTATGTTGCTTTGTGAAATGGCAATAATTTCACAGGCTTTTTGTATTGTAATTTCTATTTTGATTTGTTTCGACTGTCTTTAATTTCTTGTTATTATTCCTTTGTGGGATTAATAAGTTTCGAAGTTTGTGTCTGTAAAGTTTGAGAGGAATTTGTGAGTGTATTCATTTGAGCGTGGTGTCTCTTATTGTATCCTTTATTGATTTAATTGTATAACATGCAGCTGGATGAAATAAATTCCTATTCCTTTATTTGATTTAATCTGATGTACAATTTTGAGATGGTAACGACCCGATCGGTCGTTTTGAGCATTTACGTTTTTTTCAACTATTTGAAGTCTTGAATAACTTCCTACGAGGTATTATGACTTGTGTGAATTGTCGGTTTTGGTTTTAAGGTATTTCGGAGTTAGCTTGGAAGAATAAATTTTCATGTTGGAAGCTTAAATTGAAATAGTTGACCGGATATTGACTTATGTGTAAACGACCTCGGAATTTAATTCTGATGATTCCAATAGTTCTGTATGGTGATTTTGGACTTAGGAGCGTGTACGAAAAATTATTTAGAGGTCCGGAGTGGAATTAGGCTTGAAATGCCGAAAGTTGAATTTTGGGAAGTTTGACCGGGGGGTTGACTTTTTGATATCGAGGTCGGAATCTGATTCTGAAAATTGAAATACCTCTATTATGTCATTTATGACTTGTGTGCAAAATTTGAGGTCAATCGGACGTGATTTGATAGGTTCCGGAGTCGTTTGTAGAAATTAAAAATTTCAAAGTTTATTAGGCTTGAGTTGGGGTGTAATTCATGGTTTTAGCGTTGTTTAGGTGATTTGAGGGTTCGACTAAGTTCGTATGATGTTTTAGGACTTGTTGGTATATTTGGTTGAGGTCCCAAGGGATTCGGGTGAGTTTCGGATGGTTAACGGGTTGGATTTTGGACTTGGAACTATGCTGGAATTTTTCTGATGCACCATCTAGTTTCCTTCATCGCGTTCGCGAGTGGAGCCTCGCGTTCGCGAAGAGGAATTGAGAGGCTAGCAATATTTTCTCTTCGCGTTCGCGAAGGGTGGACTAGGTGTGCATCGCGAACGCGAGAGGTGTTACGCGTTCGCGAAGAAGAGAGGAAGCAGCTGAGGACCCCAGACAATTGGTCTACGCGTTCGCGTAGGGGGTGTCGCGTTCATGTAGTGAGGGGGAACGAAGCATCGCGTTCGCGATGGGTGGAATGCGTTCGCGTAGAAGGCATTAAGGTAGAGGCATTTTATGCTTCGCGAACGTGAGGGTGATGTCGCGTTCGCGAAGGAGGAATTTGGACGAGAACTATTTTGTGCTTCGCGAACTCGAGGCACTGACCGCGTTCCCGAAGAAGAAAAGCTTGGGCAGTGAGTTTAAGTTCTGAAAATGGGACTTCGTCCCATTTTCAAGTTTTGACGATTTTGAGCTCGGATTGAGGCATTTTTTGGGTGATTTTAAGAGGAAACAACGGGGTAAGTGTTCTTAACTCAATATTGGTTAAATTACCCGAATCCATGGTTGTTTTTATCATTTAATTGATGAATTGAGTTGGAAAAGTTTGAAAATCCTCTTGGTTAAAATTGAAGATTTGGGGGTCGAGTTGGGGTCGGAATTTGGTAAAATTGGTATGGTTAGACTCGTGGTTGAATGAGCTTCCGAATTTTGTAACTTTTGTCGAGTTCCGAGACGATTTTTGAGCTAATTTTCGGATTTTTATGAAAAATTAGCATTTTCTTATGAAGTTAATTCCAATAAATTTTATTGACTGAAACGAATTATTTGTGACTAGATTCGAGGCATCGGAGGCCGATTTGCGAGGCAAAGACATAGCAGAGTAAAGAATTTCACGCTCTGAGGTAAGTAACAGTTTTAAATCTGGTCCTGAGGGTATGAAATCCCGGATTTTGGTATCATATGATTATTTTGGAGATGACGCACATGCTAGGTGACGGGCGTGTGGGCGTGCACCGAAGGGATTGTGACTTGGTCCGTCCCGGGAAACTGTAAAGTTGAATAATTTGTTGTTAGCTATATGCTCTCTATGTGTTGATAAAACTTGACTGTAAATCATGTTAGAAGTCATGCTTAGGCTATGTGATAGTACTGTTGAGACCCGCAGGGGTCACGTACTTGTTGAATTGCCCGCTAAATGTTATATATACCTAGTTTCAGTTGTTACTTGCACATTTTATCTCAGTCTCTGTTATTATTATTGATACATCATATCATTGTTGTTTGGACTGATTTCATGATTATCGAAAGCCCGAGAGACTAGAGAGATTTATGACTAAGCGAGGCCAAGGACCTGATTGTAAAATATTGATACTATAGCACGTGAGTTGTCCGTACAGCACGTGAGTTGGCCGTGCAAATTCTTATATTATACTATAGCACGCGAGTTGGCCGTGCGGATTCTTAAATTATACTATAGCACGTGAGTTGGCCGTGCAGCACGTGAGTTGGCCGAGCCGATTCTTATATTATATTATAGCACGTGAGTTGGCCGTACAACACATGAGTTGGCCGTGCAGATCCATATATTTATATTATGGCACGTGAGTTGTCCGTGAAGATTATAGCGCTTGGGCTGTAGGAGCCCCTCCAAAGTCTGTACACCCCCCAGTGAGCGCGGATACCCATTGGGAGTGAGTGATGAGGGCTGGGAGCCCAGGGAGTGTTGAGGGCTGGGAGCCTAGTGAGTGATTTTTGTCCTAAGAGGTTGTACTTGATTTTTATTTGTTGTTGCACTTAGTTACTATCTGTCATTGTTGTGAAATCTCTGAAAGATTGTTGACATACAGATTTATGAACAGGAACTGTATAAAAATTGATTTGACATTAAACTTCCAGATTTGATAGCATATCTATTCTTTGCTGGAATTATTGGAAATAAACCATAGCTGTGTAGCTCGTTACTATCTTCAGTTCCTTATTTATTATTGTTACTTGCTTAGTTGGTTGTACTCATACTACACCCTGCACTTCGTGTCCAGATCCAGGTAATCCCGGACATAGCGGGTGTTGATCTTTTCGCGCGGTTGATTTTCAGGAGATTTTGAGATAGCTGACGTGTTCCGCAGACCTTGTCTCTCCTTCTCTATCTCTTTGTTTATTGTATTTGGTCAGACTATATTAGACTATATTTTTCAGACTTGTATTCATATTAGATGCTCATGTACTCAGTGACACCAGATTTTGGGGAGCGTTTGTATTGTATTTAAATATTATATTTTTAACCTTAAAGAGAAGTTTTGGTTTATTGAGATTTTTGGCTTGCCTAGTATCGAGATAGGCGCCATCACGACGAGTGAGATTTTGGGTCGTGACAAGTTGGTATCAGAGCTTTAGGTGACATAGGTCTCACGAGTCATGAGCAGGTTTAGTAGAGTCTTGCGGATCGGTACGGAGACGTCTGTTCTTATCTTCGAGAGGCTGTCGAACCCTTAGGAAAATTTTACTTTCTTGTATTCTATCGTGCGGAATTGATTCAACTTGAAACATAACTCTTTGAGTTCCTTCCACGTATTCGTATGCGCATATGAGCGCTCGGTATCAGTTGTGCATCGCCGGCTTGTGATTCTATGAACGAGGTTTAAGATGTGTATTCTGTATTTTGGTGATGGGCTAGTCTGGAGGACTTGAGGCCAGGTTTAGACCGCATCTTAGGCTGGGTAGCTTCAGTTGTAACCTGTACATTTGGACTCATATGTCCGGTAATGTCCCTATGAGTGGAATTTTTGGCTCGATGAGCGGTATAACGGCTTTGTGATGAGTATGATGTAACTGTGGGGTGTGTTAAGACGATTTGAATGTGACGATAAGTGATTCCTTGAAATGTAAAAGAAGGCCATTGGGTACTTTATTTTCGTTTTGATGTGACGTACAATCTCGAGTGTGAATGTTTTGAAAGATCTTTCACGTTATTAAATTTTGGGGCAAATTAATTCTCATGTTTTGTCAATGAATTTGGACTCAAGAAGAGTAAGTGATTATGTAGTAATTGTGGTTGCGAATGAGTATTTCTGATGATGATAGCTCAAGAAAGATAATCTTCGAAGAGACTTAGAGTCGGTAACATTCTGTCGGTTCTGGTACGACAGAGATGCGTTTCGAGTTAATGCAGCATTTGGGCAGCAAAGTATGAGGGAAGACATGACGGGAAGCATTTTACGGTGGTTGAAATACTAGCAGGTCAAGTAGGGGAAGTGGAGTTTGAGAAGTTGCTTAAAGGAAATGGTTAACCGAAGGAAGAGTGGCAGATTAGTTTATGGATTCTGTGGTAGGGTAGTCGCGCACCTTGAGGAAGAGTAAAATGATTTGGAATCGCGATAGAATGTGATTTGGCCTACAGACTGTATTTGGAGTGATGGTTACTGTACGGAGAAAGATTGAATATGGCAGAAATGAGTTTGTTTGAAATGAAGAGGGATGTGAAGATTTGATTATTGTTTCAGGCGTAATATGACTTGAGTTCAGAAGGTATTGTTGAACTTTCAGTTGATGTCAAAAGGGAAAGTGCAGACTTATACAAATGGTGGGCGAGCATGAGCTCAGGAGAATTTACTGATTGCGTGGTCGTTGCACCCAGTGCAGTGTCGTTGAGAGATGTCGGTAAAGAATTCCACATGTGGGCTATCTCTGGTGAGCAGTTAGAGGTGGCGTGATGTTGATGAAGCTTCTGAGAGGAATATTACTTGCTACCCAGTAAGATGTCGAGTGTGTGACTGTGGCTGTCGATTCAGAATATTCATGAAAAGCTTAACAAAAGACTTCGAGAAATTTGGAGGTTTAACGGTGCGAGATCTTGGTAATTGAGAAGGAGAAATCCTTACGGGTTCTAATTTTATATAATAACAGCTTAAGGCTAAGTGGGGGAGCCTACTATTGACAATTCAATTTCATGGTTATGTGCTAAATTTTAGTTTTGGTACGAGGCATATTTGTGGTTTAGTTATGACTTACAGAGGAGGAGATCGAGGATGACTCGGTTAAGTAAATTCCTGGATACGGGATACATTGCACTTTATGAAAACATGATGTTATTTTGAAGGATGTAGTGCACACAAAGTATGAATTTGATCGGTCGTGTTAAGATAGGGTTACTTATTTGAGTGTTGATTGTGCTAAAGAAGCACATATCCATTGGCCCATTTGGGGCGGAGTAAATTAGATTTGAGTAGAATGGATGATTCTCGAGAAGGTTCTAATGGATTCAAAATGTATATGGGAAATTGAATTTTTTTT